TATATATTATATATATATGTATATATGAAAAATATATCAAAAATGCGTGTGTGTACTCAAATGAAAGCTCTTGATGAGTGTAACATCGGGATGAGCTTATATTCTTAAAAATATCAATATTTAAGAAAGTACAGTGCAATTTAACAAATGTCATTATTGAATAAAGCAAAATTTTATTTATTTATATTCCTCAAGTCACGGCAGTCACATAGTGATTATTATATTTTTATTAAAAAAAAAAAAAATCACCTTGCTCTCTCTGATGCCGCCTTTACTGTCAGCCGGAATGATTTTGAAGGTAATAGTCCCCTCGGAGTTCTGAAGGATCTTGAGCACATCGTTAGGAGTCTTACCTTCGACACTTATATTATTAACTTCGCAAACTTCGTCTCCCACGTGGATTAGCCCAGATCTGTCAGCAGCACCACCGTGCATTATTCTTGCTATCACGATCTTCCCTGTTATCTCGCAGGTCTTAATCGTCGCTCCCTATTGTAAGTTTAATATAAATGCATTTATTTAAGGTAATTACTCACTCACACTCAACAAATCATACTATTAAAAAACCTCAAGGATCGGGGTCAGGATCTAAAAAATAAAAATTCTAATTACATGCTTAACATAAAATAAAACAATTAAATAAACATAAATGCTTTATTTACAGCATCACATACAGATCATGCAATTTAAATAAATAAATAAATAAATTAAATTAATGTAATTTTAAATAAATAAATAAATAATAAATAAAATACTTATCTCTTATTTACAGTAAATAAAATATTTTAGGTACACAATATAAAATAATAAAAGTAATAATTAATATTTATATAAAAAAAACATAAATCACGGAGAACATTAGCATATTTAAAAAGCTCAGCTGATGCAACTAAAGCCACGGGAAAACTTACCACGATCGGTTCAACGCCGTCACCGCACTTCGAGGCAAGTTTCAGGATAAAACAAAACACGTGATTACTTGGAATTGATTTTGCGGAAAATTTCGCGTAATTAGAAAGTGGATTAAAGGATTTATTTTGTGAAGATAATTTAGTGGAATTTTTTTTTAATTTTTTTTTTTAAAAAGGGAACGTGTGGAAAGGACGGACCAAACACATGCAGGTGGAGATCGTGGACCGGCGTCCAGCTAATTACCACTCCACACATTTAATTGACTATTAAATCCCGAAAGCCGAATTTAGGCTCGTATTTACTTTCAGGGCTATAAAATACCGAGATCTGACGTACCAGTGGCTCATCTGACTTCACCAGCTGGACTATCTTCACAGTCTCCTCGTCTTCGTCTACTTCCAAGGGGATTTCTGAAAGCCGTGGGTAGTAATCCTTTTGAGCAACTGCGTCGTGCGTACATAGTAGACCCTTAAAAATTTTTTAAGTAATTTTATTGCTTTTGGAAGAATTTTTTTTATTTAAAATTTATAATACTGAAGTTAACAGACATCTGAAAAGTTTTTTTTATTTTTATTACTTTAATATTTATTAGCAACTTTGCAGTCACTATGTGACTGTCGTGATTTGTGAACTATAAATAAATAAAACTTTACGTTATTAAATAATTATTTTTGTTAAATTGCACTGTACTTTCTTAAATATTGATGTTTTTAAGGATATAAGCTCATCCTGATGTTACTTTTATCAAGAGCTTTCATTTGAGTACCCACATGCATTTTTATATATTTTTCATGTATACATATATATAATATATATAAATATATGAAAAATTGATGTGGGTACTCAAATGAAAGGTCTCAATGAGTATAATGTCGGAATGAGCTTATATTTTTCAAAATGTCAATATTTCACAAGGTCATTTCTTAATTATGTACTAGAGATAGAGCATTTTCGAATACAGCCTAAATACTTATTATCATAAATTGACTATCTGTGAGAATGATATGAAACCTTGGAAAGTTACAAATTAAAGTTAAGACCTTTACAATGACACTAAATTTCAATAAAAAAATCGATTTTAACATTAATTTATCGTCATATGACTATCGTTTATTCATATAACATTAATTTAACGTCATATGACTATCCTGGAGACAAAATTATTATCTTATTCTCTTAATAATATAGATTATTTTAATTTGACATTAATTTTTTACTAAAAAAAAAAAATATATAATAAATTACAGATATAGAAAAAAAATCTTTATTAAAAACGTAAATAAAAAAATTAATTAACTAATTAATTAATTGTTTTAGTAACTTGTTTTAATTTTTAGATATAAAATTTTTTCATAATAATTTATTAAAAAAAAAAATTGATAAATGTCTGTTAATTTCAGTACAACAAAAAATTAGCTACTCTACCTGTATGTGAGGTTTTTGGAGCAAATGAAACAACTCCCGACATAATTCCGAGCCATGTGTCTTAGACGCCAGCATATCCAGAATTTCTACGTCGATGTCCATTGAGTTGGACAACACGGGGAAGAATTTGTCGTCTTCGGCATTGGACTGGATCTTCTTGTGAACATTAACAAGTGCATTTAATTCTTTTGACCGGAGCAAGTCACTCAGAAAGCCAAACTCTTCGTCAGTACAGCTAGGTATTTCAGACTTGTTCTCTTCGAGCGAGTTCAAGAGTGTTGATAATGCTGAAAATTAATTATTAATTTATTTATAAATTATATAATTCAGAGAAAAAATAAAAAAGTTTACAAATTAATAAATACTAGCAACCATTTAATCGTATCAGATTTATGCTTGCTATTATTAATATGTAAATATAGAAAATGAGAACGACCGAGCAGATCAATACGTTAATTTCTACAAGGTATAAAAATATAAATGTTATTTTTTAATCTTTGAGTAGTACAGTGTTATAAAATATATAATTATTATTCTACGGCTATAAATAAGAGAAAATTGTTTTTTATGTAAACTAGAGTAAAAATAACATGAGTAAATATTTACATTATTATTATCATATATTTTATGTTAGATTCTTTATTTATACAATTAGAGATAATTAAAATTGCTTTTAGCAAATTAAAAAAAAAAAACTATTTTTCCACTTTTTAGTTTAAAAAATTTTTAACATTAATTATTATAAAAAAAATTTAATTTTTAAGTAAATTTTCATTATTATAAAAAAAAATAATTTTTAGTCAATTTTGATTTAAAAAAAAAAAATTAAATTTCTAAGTCAATCTTAATTTAAAAAAAAAAAACTTAATTTTTAAGTCAATTTTAATTAAAAAAAAAAATTAATTTTAAGTAAATTTAATTAAAAAAAAAAAAATATTAATTTTTAAGTAAATTTTAATTTTTAAATAAAAATAAATTTTTTCTAATTAAAATTTTTCATTTAAAATTTAATAAAGTAAATTAATAATAAATTTACCCCAGTATAAATATTTAATTTGACTAATTGAAAACTAATGACTCAAAAAAAAATTCTTAATTATAAATTAACAAAAATGAACTTACCAGGATTCCAATTAACTTGTTCCATGACTACTGTCATAGCTCGCAGCAAGCACGACTAGGTGGATCGATTGAAGCACTGGTCAATTATTCCCTTTCAGACGGACTAAAATCTTGCGTGTTCGATGGCTACTACAAGAATAATAAATTACGCATACATTTAGTAGTAATAGTAGTCCTACTACCAGAGCAATAGTAACAGTAGTAGTTGTTTTTATATTTGTATAATTTAATATAGTCCGCAAACATGTACTCAGGATTCCACAATACAACCGGGTCACTGTATTCGCGTTCTTGGAGTCAACACTTATTTAACTTTTCCCAGAATTTTCTTATTGTAATAATAACAATAACAATAATAATAATTACTATTATTTAACTGGCCCGCTACCAGTATACCCAGTAACACAAAAGTTCCGCGTCTCTTATCATTGCAAAAATAATTTAGTTACGTAAGCTGTCACTCGACACAGTCTAACAGAGTAGGTTGTTTTGGGAGAGATCAAAAATTTATTTTATTGTTATTATTATTGTTAATATTTAATATTTATGATTAATGATTGTAAATAAATAAATAAATTTTTTAATACCTTTCTTCATAAACTTTTTTATAAATTTCTTCACATAATTAAATTAATTAGAATTATTTTTATTGATTATAAGCACTACCCGCACTGATTTCACAGTCAACAATTACCTTGATGTGATTCTGCCATTTTATTATTGACAGCACTCTAGCGGATGTTTTTGATAATTTAAATTCTGCAATTTTTTAAATTATTTTTATTTTTATTTATTTATTTTTCATAAAATTATTTAAAATTTTTAATTATTTACTAGTGTAAAAATTTTATAAACAATTTTTATTTATTAGAAAATTTGTTTTGAATTTCTAATTTACCAAAAGTTAGTTCCGATACCGACCGCAGATAACGCGCGTCTCTGAATGCTCAATTTTAGGCCAAGTCATTTCCTGCCGCCATTTTCATTTTCTACTTCAGAAAAAAAAGTAATCTAAAAAATAAAACGCGTCAAAATAAAAATTCAAGTTAATTGCAATTAAATTACATAAAAAATTTTATCTTGTGATAAAAGGAATTAATAATCTTATTTAAAGATTAAATCTAGGCAATAAAAGTTATCTGGGAGATAAATGTAAAGCAATTTGTCATTTGTCATTTGGTTAAAAATATAAATAATAACATATGTCATTTAGTCAACAGTTATTACCGCGTGTGTATTGAATCAGCTTTTAAACATCTGGGTGAGTATTTATGAAAATTAATTCAAAAGATATTTATTTTTTTATTTAATAAATTGTGACTAAAAAAAGTTAGGAAAAAATATGAAAATTAAGTTAGCCGACATCTGAAAATTTTTAGAATTTTTTTTATTAAAAAAACTTTAAAAATTCTAAGTGCAATTTTTTAAAAATATTTAATTCTCATTTAATAATTAAAAAAATTAACAATGTCGGCTAATTTTAATATTATAAAAAAATTAATATTGAGAAATTTTAAAAAATTAAAAATGTAATTTTTTTAAAATTATTTTTTAAAACAAATTTATTAAGAAAATTTTTCTTAATGGTCAAAACTTAATTTTAATGTCATATTTATAGTTATATAAACATACATTATGAAAGTTAAGTTAGTTGACTTCTAAAAATTTTTAGAACTTTTTTTTTTCATTAAAAAAATTATTACAAAAAATAAAAAATTTTCATTTGTAAAAAACTTGAAAAACTAATAATAATAAAGTTAGCCGACATTTTTGATTTTGCTTTTTTATTAAATTAGAACTAAAAAGTATTTATTTTTTAATTGCACTTACAGTTTTTTAAGTTTTCTATTTCTTAATTTTTTGTAATAATTTTCTTCAATAACAAAAATTGTCAAAATTTTTAAATGTCAGCTAACTTAATTTTTATCTTAATTTTCATGAAAAACACATTAGTGAAATTTTTTATTTTTAATTTAATAAATGAAAAAAAATTAAAAACGTCAGCTAACTATAATATTATTCATAAACTTACTATATTATAAATGAAAAACATATAAAATAAATAAATTTTAATATTATTGGCAAGTACTTAAAAGAAAAAATTGCGCAATTGTGAAAATTGCAGAGAATAAACTTGTGCTCGTCACCATAAACTAACATATTGTGCGATATGAAAAGTCTTGGAAGTATAAAAGTAATTTCAGACAATTGTCGCTTAAACTTATGCTAAATACAGGGAAGAAATGTAGCCGGCGGTGTTTATGACAGGGCTGAAAATTAAAATGCTGGGCACGTCAAGGTAATGGGGTCGCGGATCATCCATTTCTTCTCTTTTTAATTTCTTCTTTAAGACGATCATACTGTCTTTGTCTTTGCCTCAGATTGCTCGCTCATCAATATATTTATAATGTGTACACAGCAAATGTCAGAGCTCTAAATGCAATTCTTTCTTGTATAGATATAATAAACATACACAACATCGACAGATTTGCACCGATGATTACTTAATTACAGCCTGAGTTCACCCGCCGCCATAATCAGCATATTTAATAAAACCGCTCTCAATCATCATCAGCTCCATCATATGTAGTATATATTTTCTTCGTTCCACGAACTATTTTGTTTACGCAATTATTTAGTGCAATAATCAATTACTGCTACACGTATGTTATTTTACCTGTTTAAAATAATGTTTCTTCATTAGATTAGTTATTATTGTAAGGAGAATAGTAATTTAGCTTATTAATATTATTATTAAGATGTTAATACCTGATCTAATATATATTATAACACAGATAAATTTCACAGTAATTTTTTATATTACTAAAAAAAATTAAAGAATATATTAATTATAAAAGAAGAAATTTAAAAATTCCATTTTAATAAAATTAATTTTAGAGATATTTAAAAAACTAGAGAAACAGTAAATAGCAACAGTATTATCAAAAATCTCCAAAAAAGAAATTTAAAAATACATTTTAAAGATAATAGTAAAGTAAGCTGACGTTTTTAATTTTTTTTCATTAATTAAAACTAAAAATCTGCACTTATAGTTCTTCAAGTTATGAAAATTAAGTTAGCCGCGACATTTAAAATTTTTTAGAATTTTTTTTTTATTAAAAAAATGATTACAAAATAATAAAAAAAATTTTCATTTGTAAAAAACATGATAAACTGTAAGTGCAATTTTTAAAAAATATTTTTTAGTTCTATTTTAATAATTGAAAAATTAAAAACGTCGGCTAACTTTAGTGTTATTTTCAAGATTTTGCAAAAGAAAATTTTTTTTTATTTTTCAATAAAATAAAAATTCTAAAAATTTTTAAATGTCAGTTCACTTAATATTTTAATATCAATCAATAATTATGAAAATTAAGTTAACCGACATCTACAAAGTTTTTATAATTTTTTTTTATTGAAAAACTATAACTGCAATTTTTCAAAAATATTTTTTTAGTTCTAATTTAATAATTCAAAAAAAAATTCGAAACTTCGGCTAACTTTAGTGATATCTTTTTTTACAAAAAAACTTTTATTTTCAACTTTTTTAATAAAAAAAAAAATTTCTAAAAATTTTTTATAATTTTTCTTGATTGAAAAAATTATTTCTTACAAAAACAAAAAATTTAATTTGTAAAAAAATTGAAAAACTATACGTGCAATTTTTTAAAAATATTTTTTAGTTCTAATTTAATCAAAAAATTAAAAACGCCGGCTAACTTATAACAGATAAATTTCACAGTAATTTTTTAACCAGTTAAATACTATCCAGACATTAACACGGAATAATAATTTATAAAACATTGATCTATACACCCTCATGATTAATTACAGTTACGCAACAAATGACCGAGCATATTACCACCACAGTAATGAAATATTTTCGTACAACATAATAATATTATAAACTATTTCCAGCGACAATTTATCACCTATAATCTCTTTCACAATGACATATATACAATCGTGAATTATTTAATCACAATATCAGATCATTGCTCAAGGACCCTAGACTCAATAAGTCAATAGATTCAATCTTAAGCAAATAAAATTACAAAACTCTAAATATAATAAAAAATATCTATATATATTATATATATAATATAGTACTCTAAAATGAATGCGAAATGTATTATTATTTATTATTATCAGACTAAGACATGCTTTAACATTTCTTCCTTACTGTTAATCTTTTTAATGTCTCGCCTGAGCTAAAAGTTCTCGGTTCTAAGTTCTGTTTTGTTCCCAGTACATCATATAACTATAATATTAAATCTCACGGATATAAATATATATATTGTTGAGAGTAGAGAGTACATCGCGACACCACGGCAATTTCTTCTCTTCCCGGGGGCGAACACGCGGCTCACCACCATTCGTCTGTCTGACAGCTGATTCCGTAATCCTTTTGTCTCGTCATCTTCTATCTCTTCTCTGTTCCTAAAACAAACCCGACAATTAATATTCTCTCTCTTTTTAACATTAGCGACGACTTTACTACACCACAGTACAGTGCTTGCTGTATATATACATAATGCCGTGTCGAGGAATCACGCGGAGCCATTGGTCGGCACAACGGGCCAATCAGCTCCCACTTCCATTCATAAGTTGCGTCGCTCTGCAAGGGAAGTATATAATACGGAGTTAAGTCCAGGGGAAAAGAGATTACACATGCATATAATTTCCTCTACCGATTTATTCAGAGGGTTGTTTTGTGCGCAGACTCAATATAGTCTTCTCACATTACATGATAATAATCAACTTTTTGGGTTAATACCTAAAAAAAACCCATGAATATATCCAGGTAAATTGTTCCTCGTCACGTCATGAAGAATAATATAGATTTATTTATTGTATGACCGTTGGTGAAGACTGGAGTTCCTCGCGGGGGGTCTGCAACTCGCGTATAGGTAAATGGAACGGAAGGCCCGTAAATGTGTATGAAATATGGTTATTGCTGATCGTGTATGTCCATGTCGTGGTGTAGTATGTAGTACTATGTTGAAACCAAAGGAAATTTTAATTTTCATTGAAAAT